CCATGGTGGCGAGTCGCTGGAGCTATGCTGAGGAGTATACTAAAGAAATGTGATTGAGATTCTCATCAGTCAGAAATGATCATGAGTAGTAGTCAATTCCTATTGTTTAATTCCCGTCTGCCTCGGAGTTAAGTATGAAGTCTGCTAATAATTATTCAAAATTGGTCTGTTTGATAATAGATGGTCGTCGCTTTTCTCCACCCAAAAAGAAACGATCTTGCGTGAGTTCTCGTGAGGTAGTTCTTGGTTTTTAAGAGCTAAACTGTGATTGGCTAATAACGTCTGAGAGGCTCGAGTTCGCGGACGTTACTTTTTGGGTCGAGAGAAGCGACGACCGGAAATACGTCTACGTTCGTAAGCTAGATAGTACGAGCGGCAACGACTTACTAAAGGAATCGGCATGAGGTTGACCTCGTGACCTGTCTTGAATGACTATTAAGGGGGCAGTACGGTTAAAAGCATTATTTTTCGTTGATTTCCACCCTTTTTCTTAAATATCTAGCCAAGATTTCATTCAATCTAAAATATGACTCAATCAGGTCACAGTCCTTAATTCAATAATTATTTGGGGAGACGTTTAAAATTTGGGAAAATGGGAAAATATTGGATTTGGGGGTTGTTAAAAATTGAAATATGAAGTGAATAATAAGTAGACAATTACTAGATAGTCCACCACCACAACAACGTGCCTCTGATCCCATTAGCGGACTAACTGTTTATGTGTATACCTTTTCCACCCTAATTTATTTCTTTCCTAAATCAACATCATTTCCGATCCCCAAAAAACCAACCGTAAAGCCCCCTTAACATTTTTTTAACCAATTACAGACTACGACGTCATGATATGGATCAGGATCCAAAACAACAATTTCACAACTTACTTTGACATGTTTGACGCAAGCTCCCCAGATCACGTGAGTGTAAACGGCATCATTTCTTCTTGGGTAAGTTGCTTTTTCTTATTTGACGATTAGGGCACTTATGCACTTATGAAAATAAAACATTTCGAAAAAAATTGGCATTAGTCCCATTATTACGTCTTTGTGCACTGTTTTGGAACAAGCTGATCACGCTGGATAGGCCTAGCTTGCCAAGGCAGCCACATTTCTGGTCCGGCTGCTTCCACTTGAAGAGTGTAAAGAAAAGAAAAACCAGAAAAAGTCGTCTCCTCACTCAAACTAAGACACGCCTGACTATTAGAATTCTCTTTAAGGAGGCTCTTTCACGGTTGTCCAGTTCATTTGTTTAAAAAGTCAGTTGCGTGTCCTTACTTGCTGTGAAACCTGCGAAATTACTCGTCAGTGACAGAATGATAACTTTCTGTTCAACAAATGTGCTTCCCAAGCACTACATCAGACGTTTCAAACAACAAAAATGAACTTTAAAATACTGCTAGTTAAAGAGCGAGGAGAGAAGGCTGTATTGGCAGGTTGACTGTAACATAAACGTCTCGTTAATTGTTTGCAGCTTGTAGAGATGCTAGACACACAGAAGATTTGTGGCGTTGGCACATTTACACTTCAGTGGTTCAGGTGAGTTCATTGTATTTAGGATTATGGTTCGTACGGCACTGGACAAATTTACGATCCTCAGGCCATTTAAGGCACGACTATCTAATTAAATATGCATATTTTGATAAAATGCTATTTAGAACGGTTTGCTTCTATCTATGATCCTGAAAATTGGACTACTAATATAATGTAGCTTAATGGCCTTAGCAATAAGAGATATTTTAGACGTTCAAATTTTTGTCACGTGACTTATAATTGAGAATTAACGGTCAAAATATTTACTTTGTATTACTGTGTTTTAAAACATAAGCAAGCGAATATTAACGTTAAAAGCCGACGTTTCGGTATCATCATGACACCATTCTCAAGGAAAAATGAATGAGTAGTGCGAAGATTTGATTTCTATTCTCATTCGTATAAAAGCCGCCGCGTGACGATTTAATCGACTAGATTACTGCGTGCTCCCTTGGAAAGCAGTCTATTGCTCCTTTACGGTCCCCAGGGAAATTCCCTAGGCCTTTTATACGCCCTAGCAAACAAATTCGCCGTCTTCTCGCAAGTCTACTCTACAACGGGCAAGCAAGTTTCCCCACCCTCCTCCCCTTCAGCGGCGCTGGCAAATTTTCTCTATCAGCCTACCCTATGCCTTATGCAAAATTTTTCACCCATAACTTATCCATCAAAAGGCATAAGGTGGCTTTTATGCGAATGTGAATTAGTTACTATAGTCTCTACAAATTAGCATAATAACAAAGGATCACAAGTTCTTCAAGTGAATACCTTTGCGCGAATCGAGTCCGCCTGCACGTTTAGGGATGGTTTGAGTTTTCTTATAAAGAGCATCTCCTTAATTAGGCAATCAAATTTGTTAGAACCTTTAGTGAGCACGTGAAATTACTGTGTTTACCGATGTATTTATTTATGTAGGAAGGGGATAATATTCCCTTTTTGTTTTATCTTTAAGACCTGAGACACCCTCTACATCGGTCGCACACTACCTTTTTCCGACGAGCTTTCAGGACATTGGCCACATTGCTGAGCAGCTGATTGGACAAAGTCCTTCGGGGTTTGAAGCCGAAATCATCGAGGTGCAACAAAAAAGAGGTACGTGTCAGCAAAAACTACCGTTCAAAAATGCAGATGAAGATTAACAGTCAAAAAGTTTTCAGGTATTTCAAATCTAACTATTTCAGCTGTTCTTCACCGGATTCTAGCTTCTGAAGAACTTCTGAACTTGAATTTGCTAGTTCCCATGTTCTCAAAAACACTAGACATTACAATGCCTTACAACCTACTTATGTATAAAAATATTTCAAAAGTTTTTAATAGAAAGGCCAAGGCAACCTCCAAAACACAACATTTTCTTTCAATTCATAAAGAATTTGTTATTTATTTTAACTTTTGGACTAAATTTCCAATTAATAACCGTCAACTATCAAAACCTCTAAAATATATCCGTCAACCGTCAAAATTGGAAAAAAATTAACAGTCACCCTTCAGAGCTACCAGCAGAGCCGCATCCTGACACCTTGAGATAAGGGGTGAGGGAGTCGGTCATCCAGACCCTTAGATAAGGAGGTGGGGGGGGGGCCTGGTTTCAACAAAAAAAAAATTCGATCCTTCGGCCTCGGTTTGGTCTAAAAGTAAGGGGTGGCCCCCCCGGGCCCTTTCCTTGGATCAGGTTTTGGGTTAGGGTTAAAGGTTGAGATAAGGTAAAGGGGAAGGGAGGGGTGGGGTCTCCAAAATTGTTTATCGACCCTTCAGGTCTCAGTTTGGTCTAAAAATAAGAGGGGGAAGGCGGGCCCCCCGGGCTCCTCCCCTGGATTTTCCACTGGATCCTCCACTGCTATTATTCCTTTTTGCGTTAGTTTTGTTTCTATAAAATGTTTGTTTGTTTTCTTTAGTACCAGCTGCATAAATCTAGCTACTATTTTGTGGGAAGCAATTCCTCGGTAAATTATTTGCTGAAAGGGAATATGTCTCTGTTGATGGTATCATCCGCTCCCCTGGGTGCTTTATGCTGCAGAAAAATTTGCCGATTTACGCCTCTACATCAACGTTAAAGCTAAAAGCATTAACACATATTCATTCTTTTGCTATCTACAGGACGGTGTTATTCAAACAATCCTTATGTTAATGCTTACATTTCATTTTCTACAAGCTACAAGTCTCCCACTGTTTACAGGAAAGCTGACACTCATTACATTCATGGAGACAGCTACTTCTACTGTTCATATTCTAAGAGTTACAAGTGGGAATTCTATCTTCTAGAATCGGTCAGTGTCTAATTATTAATTTAGTTATTACTATATAGCTACCTTCTGTGAACAGAGCAAAACACATTCTCATTATTATCTTGGGGTATATATACAAAGAAATAAGTTACGAGTGACTTGATCTTTCCCAAAACACACACGCCTTTTACAGGTAACTCTTGAATATAGCGGAGCTCCCGCACGCGAAGTGTGCGCAGTGGAGCACCATGGGTAATTAAGTCCAATCTATGCAGTCTGGTTGGGACAAAATCATTCGCACGTACGCACATTCGCCCACTCATGTAAACGGATGTGAAATGCCAAAATTACTTGCTTGGATTCTAGGGTATACAGTCTTTGGTTGACTTGATACTGGACATCCATGTTATGGTCGATTTACAGCTGTTAAGAAAGGTTATCGGTTGACCAGTACCACGTGACTGTACCACGGGCTCAGGTTTACAGTTCGTTGACGTGATGCGTTTTTTAAGCTTTCCGCTGACCAGTTATTGGTTTTCAATTGAGGTTCGTTATTTTCTAAGAGAAATGCAGTTATCTCTTGTGTGCAAAGTCGAATTACTTCTTTAAAAATCTCACTGAAGCTTCGCTTTTGACCTTGGCTAAATCTGTATATTATAATGAGAATTGACCTGATAAGTGGGAAGAGAAAAAGGTTGCGGCAGTAGCGAGAGTGCTCGCCAACCGCTCAGGCGACCCGATTTAAATCAAGGAAACGACGCCATACGTTGGGTTTTAACTAACAACCTGTCTACACGATAACCAAGAACAACCACTTGTGTGCTAAACTGTTCAAAACTTTATAAGAAATGAGTAGAATCTAAAAGACGATGCATTTACTTTCGGGCCTCCAATAATGCTTGTGGAGAATTGACGTAACTAATGAAGCCTGACTTGCCCGCAACATTACCCTTAAATGCAACCATATTCCCAAAATAAATTTCATTCATTCGTTCGTTCGTTCGTTCGTTCGTTCGTTCGTTCAGTCAGTCAGTCATTCATTCATTCATTCATTCATTCATTCATTCATTCATTCATTCATTCATTCATTCATTCATTCATTCATTATATAACCTAAATTTTTTACACATGTTTATTTTAGGACAATGTAACAATAAACGCCAGCACAACTATGAGTACGAGTGAATCATGGTATCTCAGCGCACGGACTTTGCTATATGGACTCTACTTTGTACAGTTCACAGCCCAGAGCCAAACAAATCCACGACAGATTGGCTACGACTACGGTTTCCTTAAGATCGTTGAAGGTCCTTTGTATGCCTATATATCTCAAGGTTCTTATGCTGTATATATAGAAAAACGAAGCATGACGCTGGACGGTTCAGACTCCTACGACCCCGACTTTTATGGGGAGAAAGGTAGGCCGTGAGGATAATATTGAACGAAACTAAGACACAAGAGTAGTACACACAAAACACAGGGAAATGGCCAGTAACGTACTCATGTGCACAGCCATTTCATTCGGTCAGTGTACTAAACTATTTTAGCCACCACATATGTACGGCGGATCTGTCGTCAAGGGAGTGCTTTTGCACTCGCCTTAACAGTAAAATGCGGGGGCAGCAATCGCTGGGGAGACCCTTCGCCTGGGGCTATGCACTCGCCTCGGTGATAAACGACAGGGTCAGCCAAGCTTGAGGATATCTGCGGCCCATGGGGGGGGGGGGGTACTCCCTTGTAAGGGCTTAATGGGGACGTGCGGCCAGCCAGGGCATGTTTTTCGGGATTTTTGTCTTAAACTGGGTATCTTTTCTTGGAGGATCAACAGCAAAATTTTTACAAGCTCTAATGTTAATTAATATTGACTTCTTTTGACTTTGGCATTGATACCAGGCACATCAGAAATCGGAATTCTGTCTTAAACAGGGTAGGAAAATCAGCGATTTTTGTCTGAAACAGGGTCAGGGTATGAGGAGCCGAGCCGCACCTCCCCACCCAAGGATATATTGAGTGCCCCCCCCCCCGATATCTGCGGGGCTTGAAGTATCGTGTGTCTGTGTTAATCGGGCAATATAGTTTGTCAGTCAGTTGTTTGTCGTTGCTGTTTGTTTTTCACAGGTAATTATGACAACATGAATTTCACCTGGGTTTGCTGGAAAAGTGGAGACTCGTCCCCGGATTTGAACGATCTCGGTATTTTAAACAAGGTGTACCCCGACGGATCAAACCCAACAGCCCCAGACGGAAATGAGGTGTGACGATTTATTATCTTTGATATCTAGCCGATTTTTTTTTTTTTTTTTTTTGAAAACGAAATTTCCACTCTTTTGAGTGGAAAAGGGCCAAAAGGCAAGTTTCTCGGTTTACACGAGCGAAGCGCCAAGAAAAAGAGAAAAAGAAAGAGCGAGGAGGAACAAAGGAGAAGAAGCGAAAAAAGCAGTGGTTGCATTCTTACTTTTTTATAATGCCTACTTTAGCCGAAAAAAACCGAAGAAGCCTATTTGGCGGTAACGTTTTCAAAAATCCGGCTAGATATTAAGATTTATCCAAGGCCAAAAGCGAGGTTACCGTGGCGTTTGTTTGTTTGTTCTTTTTTTTATCATGTTTTCTGAAGTAATGGAAATTTCCTTATAAACAGAGAAGAAACTGAATTCCAAGTGAAAAATGGACCTGAGTCTTCCATAAATTAAAAACCAATAACAATAACTAACTGGTCTGGGAAAACTTAAAAAAGAACACGTGACCTCGACGAATTACAAAGTAGAAAAGGTTTTGAGGTTAAGAGTCGATATTTCTTCGAGTTTTGTAATTTGAAAAACCTTTGTAAAAAGGCTCATTCCAAGTTTTTTTTTTTTTCATTTATCAATTTCTAATTAATTCTTATTCATTTTTCCCGTCAAGATTTGTAACGATCATAGCAAATGATGTTAACTGCTGATATTTTTAAAACCTTTCGGACACGAGACTTATGAAAATTTCATAAAGTCTAATAATAATATCATAATAATAGTATCATCGTATCATAATAATAGTATCATCGTTTATCTTCGACCGTTAAACGATTTGAAAATGTCTGTAAAAACCTTTCATGATAGTAGATGGAAGATTATCATTCCGTTCGTGATAGCGGGTTTAATTTTTTTGGCCCTGCTGTTTCTCTTTTTTGGTAAACGGCTCAACATTTAACATGTAAAGGAAATGGCGATCTCTGTGTGAATAAATCATAATCATGAACATTATCATCAGCTAAGTCATATCACATTGTTATTGTCATCATCATAATAATTATCCTTCTATATACTCGTCACCATTATCATAATTATTTTTCTCATAGTCTTCAGCATCTTGATCACCATCCTCAAACTCATCATCATCATCATCATCATCATCATCATCATCATCATCATCATCATCATCATAATTATCACCATCATCAATTACCAAAGATGCAAAGAAGTCAACTACTATTTGGAGGCAAGCAATAACCTATACCTTCAGGCTGATATAATATATTTATAATATATTTTTTAGGTTTCTAACCATCCTGGTGGGGGATGCTTCAATACGGGACCTGGAAAGATATCAGCCAATAACAACATTTCCATAACATTTGACAATAGTCTTATGCTCCTTGGATACACATATTATATGGCACTGGTGGTACAGAAGGGACATCGGAAGGGCGATTACAGACAAACAGTTGTTCTTGCCAAGGCACCACCAAAATTTAATATCAGGTAAGGCAGGTAATAAACAACAGCCAAGGCTTAAAGTTCGATGCCGTGAACTTTTCTTTCGTAACGGTTTTTGCAATTTTTAAGACACACAATTTTTATACTGTATTTTAAAGGTGTTTTCATTATCAGGGAAGAACTTTATGGCAACACAAATTTTGGTTAAGAGTTCTCTAAACTGACATCTCCTCGGAGAATATTTTTAAAATCAATAAGGCTTCCAACTTGAAAGCCCAAATCAGGTGACCCTTTCCTCAAATTGCTTGCCAAAATCTCAACTGCTTGCCATCGTGATGAATCCCAATCTACGACAGATATATGTTCCTGAAAAGCCCCTTTGAATGCATCACAACTAAGGTCAGAGCCGGGTAAAGGGTAAAGTTCTCCTTCCTTAAGCTGACGGCGTGCTCATTTCCCCCCTCTTCCCCACCCCCTTTTTATAATTGTTCCGTTTTAAGAGTATTTGAAGTTGTTAACGCTACACTGATAGGGTGGAACGCGCAAGGAGGATTTGAAGTCACACCCGGGAATTAAACTCAAGACTACTGGCGCAAAAAGGCTGCCCACTTTAATTTTGAACTGTGCCGATCCTTACAACTCCTGGTAAATTTAACTTAGGCTTTCACACTTGCCTTTCACCCAAGGCCTTTCATTAGCATTTTTTGGGCTGGCCAAATTGTTTCAAAGTAACATTGTATACGTGATATCTGACAAAGTTCCTTTTCACTGAACAACTTGGGGTCACTTGGAGGGATGCATCAAAACCTCGTTTTTATGTTACAGCTGCTTTTCAAACTGTCAACCGAACGCTATTATAAGCCAGCGTATAGGCCTGGAAGCATACTGTGTAGGTCCAGACTGCTCAAGAACGCTATACTTCAAATGGTTTATGTACGAGAGTGACAAGACATTCCCGGGACCGGAGGGTAAGATAGAATGCCATAATAGAGAAGAGAAGTGTGACGTCAGGTTACCATGGTAGCAAAATTTCTGGATCTCGACATTCTCTCTTAACAGAGGAGGTTATTTGCATTGTCGACGGATGCAAGGAAAGTGCGGGCTACTGTTTTGTTCCTGAGTGTAATGGTGCACAGTAAAGTAGTTTTTTTTTTGGTGTTTGCTTTTGTTTGTTTTTATTTTGCCACATTTGTAGGACCAAGGTTTGTTAAGATTCAGAAATTTTTCTACCCGGCAGCGTGACGTAACGAAAAATTATCCTCTCTTTCGTGCCCAAATTATGGAATAATTTGTCACCCACAAAATGGGTGGCAAATGAATATTTTATATCTTATTGTTTCGATAATTATTACCTTATTCCCCAAATTTGGTCAGCTCAAGCTGGTTGTGACGAATTGGCCGGCGGATTTGAGCCAATCAGGAACGACAAAAAAGGTTCGATGAATAATAATTAGCGTTATTGACATTCAGTTTTAATATTGATAACAGTTGAAACTCCCGTCAATGGTCATCCAAAATGCAAAGCACTGGTGGTCGATTATAGGAGGTGGTCGCACTCGAGGGTTTCAAACTGTAGTGTATGACGAAACTTTTGTTTTCATCGTAGGAATTAGAAATGTTGATGAAGGAAAAATTGATTTTTTTTTCTTACCAACAGATTACAACGCGACAAAAAACTTCTACGGTAACTTATTGACAACCTCCAGCTCTAGATCGATGCTGCTACAGGAAAACGTTCTCGAAAAAAGAAAAAGTTATATGATAAAATTTAGAGTGACAACTATATACGACGCCAAAGAGTTCGCCTATTACTATTTCCGCACCAACATTCCACCTGTAGGGGGTACTTGTGCGATAGACAGAGACACAGGAGTAGCTGCCCGTGATTTGTATGAATTGGTATGTAACAACTGGGACGATAATGATACGCCACTGGTATACAAAGTGAACATACCGTCGAATAATGAAAGTAGCGGATACATCGTCTTGGCTGTGTTTGATACAAGCTCAAAGTTGCGTCTACCGGTTGGAGATAAGCTGGATTTATATCACCTACATTTAAATGTGTATATCATAGATTCACTTGGTGCAACGGCGAAAGTCAACCTTACAGTGATTGTAAGTATGTAGCACGTCCCTAACTTTCAGGCCTTGTGACGTGGGATCAATAGGCCATTTCCGAGTTCCAAAACATCTCACTTTCAAAACGAGGCTTAGTGCGAAACCTTTGTTGTGAAAATGAGTTTTATTTGCATCAAAATTAAAACTAACTTTCATATCAATGGCTTCGCACTTAGCCTCGCCTTGAAAGTGAGATTTTTGGAACTCGGAAATGGCCTACTTAGATTCTGGGAAACTGCCCACCTACCCCTCCCCTGACCCAACATTTTGCCCTAAGTGAGAAGTAAGTGTTAATGCTGACTTAGGGGAGGGGTAGGTGGGCAGTTTTCCAGAAACCTTAATTTATCCACGACGTGCATAGGCTTGGAAGAGACCACCCGGCTTGCAAGCAGAGCCTCCTTTTATCTTCTTGAATGAGGAGCAGAAAAGGAGGCTCTGCACATGCCTGAATTGCGTCGAGGTTTTTTGGTCGCCGCAGCCCACACTTCTGGACTATACAATCTTATTTCTCTCGTCAAACAGGTTTACTTCAGTGCGAGCATCCGTTAATTGATAAACCGGTGGTCATAGCCGAGCCCGCTGTACCAAGCGCACGGCTAGTAGGCCTAGGCCTCAGACCGTATCCTAACAACATGCCGCGCACGCTCAAAAAAGATATTTCTCGATTCAAGCAGAGTTTTTCTTAAGTACGCCAAATTTGAGCAAGCAAAATCAAGGCTCTGCTGGCAGGCTTGGAACAGACACGATAACATTACCATAGGCGTCACGTTGTATCTTCGGTCGGGTACTTTACTAGAATTAGATGTAATAAATTAACGTATTTTTCAGACTTATTGTTGATTTTGTAATTTAATTCAACCTCTGCTGTAAAAATAAATGAAGTTACAACCTCTCTAATCTTCATAAGCAAAGAAAGAATCTTGGATATTTTGGAATTGAGTGAAAATATTTCACATATTCCATATTTGACGATTATCACGTTTTCCCCCCAAATTGACGCGACTCACGCGTGAGCACAACTTAGTACTGCGAAAATCTCGAACTCGTAGTCGTACTCGTCTTAGAATTTAAAGGTCTCTATTTCAACAAAACGAGACGACGATTTATTGATAGTCTTCCAAAATGTATAAAGCGTTTTCACATGACGTCACGGTGGCCATATTGGTGTTCCAAAACAATGAAAGCCCGGCCATGTTGGTGTCCCAAGACAATCCTGTGGGAGTTGAATTCTTTTTTAATGCAAACGCTTTCTTGTTCCAATAAATTTGCAGAGATGCTGGCCACGTGAGTGAAAACGCTCTATAGTTCGAGTTTCGGCAAGTCTTACGTCATAATTGCTTGCTGTGAGGAAATCTACGTTCGCTAATTCATGTAAAGAATTAACAATCATCACCCATACCCTTATAGGTCTAATAGTCTAAGAGTGTTTTCACTCACTGGCCAGAATCTATGCAAATTTATTGGGACAAAAGAAAGCGTTTGCATAAGAAAAGAGTTCAACTCCTAAAGGACTGGCTTGGGACACCGACATCACCACCGTTTCATTGTTTTGGGACACCAATATGGCCACCAACACATCATGGGAAAACACTCCTATGATCTGGCAGTATCGCCTTGAGATGAAAAGTTCTAGAATAAACAAACTCGACTGCGATTTCACGTATTGGCAATTTTTTTTTACTTGTTTGCCCCCTGAGAAACCGCGTCACATATGGTGTATTGGAAAAGAGCTTTCTGTTACGTTATTTCACTTCTGATTACGATCCAAGGAAACCAAAAACCAACGCTTTGAGTAATTTCCCTCTCCAGAAACTATAAGCGGAAATTGTTACAAGCTTTTGGTGCATCAATTACTATGATCGTCATGGGTGGACAAGTGTTAGTTATGATTGGCCGATGGTCGTCAAGGCAACCTTCAACCCACCATAACTAACACTTGTCCAACCAAACTATCCCAGAAATAGTTGCGCCGAAAACTTGTATCCATTCCCCTAATAGTTTCTGGAGTGTAGTCTCCCTCGCAGCCGTTTTTATTGTCGTTACGCAACACTCCTGGGGAGAAGCGTTGCGTGACGACACTGAAAGAGACTATCTGGAGTGGGGATTATGACTGAACAATGCCTTACAGGTATATCCACCATCAATATCTGAACTGGATGAGGAGCTGACGGAACTTGTTCGTGAAAATGGTGCTCTTGATGGTTATGTCAAAGCAAACGATCAACAAAGAGCCGTTCAACTGAGCATTAGCGTGTTAAGTACCTTGGACTTTCTGCAGCAATCAAACAACACAGAGGTAAGCCAGCTAAAGTTTCAGAAATATCAGGCATCAATAATATACATATATACTTTTAGTTTTATTACGGCCTTCTTACCTCTTTTTCGGCTAAGGAGGTCACCCTTCAAGCCAAGCAGTTTGTCATGTCAAAGATTTGCCAACTGAGATTGGTGAGAAAAATGTAGGGAAAGTGGGCTTACCCAGGATGGCCCTTCTAAGCGGGAAAATTCTTTTCCATATAAATGCGGCCTGAAATGAGAAATCAAGCATTCAATTTGAAAATGTCTGTTCAAACTTCTCAGACCAACTGCACGTAAATACGGTAGTACTAGGCACTTCCGTGTTTTTTTGTCTGTTTGTTTGTTTGTTTTTGTTTTTTATTGTTTTATTTTCAACCATTACCACATTGCTTTTCAGATCCGACAAAATATTATCAACAGTATAACACAGTTAAAGATCAATGACACTGAAAGTGTAAACCAGATAGCCAGCGTCTTAGTGGAGGCAACTAAAGTAGAAGGGGAGATAACCCCTCAGTCTGGGGTAAGTGTTCATTTGTGTGGAGAAATTAGTTTTTGGATACATTGCACTGAGTGAGTCAACTCTAACCGTGCAGGCATCTCGCTATTAAGGACACTCAGAAAGCGCGGTAGTGGCTAAATCCCCGGAAAAACGTACGGACATTTGAATGAAAACTGCACGTTAATTTAGACCCTCGCCATTACGGACGCCTCGAAAATGCGGCACCTAAGTCCCTGTTAAAACATACGGACATTTGAATGAAACCTCATGTTCTTCGAGACTATCGTTACTACAGACACCCCAAATGTACGGCAGCTGAATCTTCGACAAAACGAATTAACATTTCACTGAAAACTTATTTGAGACCAGGGGCACCCAGCGCGATTATATTCTATGAAATAACTGTTCGAAGAAGCAAATATTGTCTAGAAATTTCTAAAGCTTAGGAAAGGCTAAAAATTTCTGAATCAACGCTCCATTAGTCTAAAATATTCGGAGATTTTCTAATAGCTTAACTACGATTTTCAAATGTTGTGTTTTCACATTTTAATATCAAGATATTGCGATTATTGTTCAAAAAAAGATCTCCTAAAACTTTCGGTATATATACAATGAAAGACGACGAAAGCAAGGCTACTTCATGTCCTCGAGGGTAGCTAACACTTTCGGATGAGACGAAAAAGCCAGCTAAAGACATCCGACAGATAAATAGTTTTTAGGGTAACCCCAAGTTGACCAAAACGGCCTCTAAAGCATAGAGAAACCCACCTGAGACTCTTATGGCGTATTTGGAAACATTCGCTATTGCGGAGAACACGATAGTACGGAAGCTTCTGAATCCCCGTATCAAAAAGTACCGACGCTTAGCGGATTTTTCAACATTAACATAAGAATACAATATATTCTTTCATTTTTATCATCTTATTTGAATTTACTATGTTTCCGTTGATAATCAATCGAAATTGCTGCAAACGTAGACATATGTCACCCCTCTATTGCAATTCTCTTTCATAATGGAGAACTGATAGCATCGTCTTTTCTAAACTAAGTAAACCCTCTCTCAAATTTAAATAAGCCCCCCTGTCTCTATTAAGCCCCTCCCTCCTCAAATGGGCTTAACATAAATAAGCCTCCTGGGGGGCGCTTAACAAAGGATTTACGGTCATTTGAAAAATTAGAGCAACCTTCGGATTATCTACCAGCAGATAACTTCCGAGAGCCCTAAACAGGGCCTGTGCTGTTGATCCAACAGTTGATTTTAGCAAAACGTGCTTTTCACAGAGCAATGTTCATCCGGGTAGACACAATTCGCCCCATGTCAGGTGAATCCGGATTCTGCAATCCGGAAAATTTTTGCTCGCCCTGGAATCCGGAATGCTGGTCTTTGGAATCCGTAATTCAGCTCAACTAATCCAGAAAACAAGTTGCACTGACAAGGAATCCGGAATGCAGTACCTAAAATCCGGAATCCAGCACAGCCTGGAACACAGAATGCAAGACTGTCTTGGATGACCTTACATAGGGCGACACAAAGATCGCCCCATGTAAGGGAATCCGGATTCCTGAATCTGAGAAAAGTTTTGTGTATGGAATCCGGAATCCTAGCTTTTGGAATCCGGAATACAGCTTAAGGAATCCGGAATCCTGGGTTTTGGAATCCGAAATACAGCTTAAGGAATCCGGAATCCTGGGTTTTGGAATCCGGAATACAGCTTAAGGAATGCAGAATCCTGGGTTTTGGAATCCAGAATACAGCTTATTGAATCCAGAATCCTGGGTTTTGGAATCCGAAATACAGCTTATGGAATCCGGAATCCTAGGTTTTGGAATCCGGAATACAGCTTAACGAATCCGGAATCCTGGGTTTTGGAATCCGGAATACAGCTTATGGAATTTGGAATCCTGGGTTTTGGAATCCGGAATACATCTTAAGGAATCCGGAATCCAGGGTTTTGGAATACGGAACACAGTTTATAGAATCCAGAATCCAAGTTCCACTGACAAATACTGGAATCCAGTACCTGAAATCCGGAATCCACAGCCTGGAACACAGAATGCAAGACTGTCTTGGATTATCTTATAATATCTTACAAAGATATAATCGTTCTTATCACACCGTTGTCACTTGACTTATTACACAAAGCAAACTACAACGACACTTCTTTCTAGTTGCAGTCCTTAGGATCATGCGAAGAAATGTCGGCTATTTTGGCACAAGAAGGAAATAACACAGCAACGACAGACTTAGTAGAAAACGCTGGTAAGCAGATTGTTGCTGTGACTGGCAATGTACTTGGTGGGGTAGTCTATACCCACACAGAGAATGCTACTGCGGTGAGTAACAAAAACTTGCTTTATTGATGTGTCATTAGTGAACTTACGCAACAGGACGGGAGAGGGAAGAAGACGGCAAACCTTGTGTGACAAGCGTGACAATATTTTTGTTTGAAATAACTTTTCGCCAAAATTCACTTTCCTTTAAACAGACCTTTTTGTAAAAGACCAGAAAACATTGATGTTAAGTGAAGATCACGACAAAACGCGTAAGAAATAGCCTTGTCACGTTTGTCACATACGAGCGTTCTGCCGTCCTCTTCTTCCTGTCGTCCTGTTGCGTAAACTCACTACTGTCTTATTATTAACGCTATTCAGACCCTATTCAAACCAGGGAGGGCTATAGCACTGTACTGTATACTGAAGTCCTGAAAAATCAGTCAACCATCGTTTAGGCCTGGTTCAGACGCCGTACTTTTTATGTGCCGAACCTAATTGAATAAGTACTTTATGTACTTCAACTAATAAAATCCCTACCCTTTCATATACCTGAAGCCTGACAAAGGTACCCCTTTCGGGCGGAGTCTCCCCGTATAGGCCATCATAGGGAGTACCCCACGGGGCTTCTGCTCGTTATTGCTACCTTCATTGGACAAACAAGGATTGGATTCTATGGTAACGGTTAGATGGACTTCGAAGAAAAGACTAAAAACAAGAACCGTTTTTGACAACGCAGGTCGCGTGTTATCCGAATCAGCCGTAAAAGTCTGAAAACAATGGCTACACTTTTAAATTACCCTGCCAGGGTGCAAAGAAAATCAGTTTTACAGCTTGCCATTCGGGCAAGCTGAGGCTAGCATTTACTAGCCCAGGCGTCATTTCAACTAGCCCCAAAAGCTTTTTGATGAGCAGAATTGATTTCACAGTTCTTGTTATTCAAATTCCTCAAAACACATCACTTGCCCGTCGGGCAAGTTAAGAACAGAATTCACTAGCCCGATAGCAAAAAAATCCACTAGCCCCGGGCTATCGGACGCTACTTTCTTTGCACGCTGCCCTGGGTAAAGTTTTATCTAATCGACCCCAGTTGTTACTTCTTCTCTTATTTCGATAGCTTGAGGACCTCGCCAAGAAGGCCTTAAACCTTTCAGAAACTATAGGAAGATACTTCCTTCGGCGTCTAATACCAGGAGAGAAACCGACGGTATTTCGAAGCAAACATCTCAGTATGCAGCTTGCCAAGCTGCTTGTGGGTGGCGAGGATAACAAGACTCGGGATATGAGCATCAGTGGTGGGTCTTTCAAATTACCGGATCTTCCCGTCTTGTCTGATTCGACTCGTTCATACCTTGACAGAAGGGTAAGTAAGTCGGCAGTACGTAGTAGAAGATGTTGTCATTGTTGTTGTTCTTTTCATTGTTTTCATTGAAATTTCGAATTTTACGGCATTAAGGAAATGGCCGCCAATGCTCGCAGCGCGTAATGCTTACTGAGAAAAGGAACTTGGTCTTTAATAAACTAGTGACTCAGCGGTGAGAGTTATCGGCTTTCAATTTTGTTATTCGGGCTCAAATCCCAGAAGCGAGGGTACCTTTCTCGTTCTTATCCTAAGAAGTCTTTCTTTCTCAGCTGTTGGCGCAGAGCTTTGCGAGTTCTCTCTCACTCTTTTTCTCCCTCTAATCACAGGAAGTTTTTAATGGTTACCAAACTGTTTAAGACGGAATCCACCAGGAAATTGATTAATTTTAATTTTCAGTGGACAAAACCCCTGTACAAGAATTGGATTACACATGTAAAATTCTGAAAATTTCATGTAGAAGATGTACTTTTGTGAAATTTGACATTCATTTTCTCGGGCTCCCATTAGATTTTTTTTTGGAGTTACTACAGATGATTTATTACATCTTTAGCCCTTGAAAAATGTAAAAAAGAATGCAATATTCTTTAAATCATTCTGGTACAAGGTTTTTGTCCACTGAAAATTAAAATTGCGCAATTTCCAGGTGATGGATTGGGTCAGCGACAAACCAATGAGTGGTGCCGCATCTCCCAGTTGTAGACCTGGATCAGTACAATAACAACTTGTAGACAAATATGAAACGGCAAACTGATCCTTACGGCAAGGCAATGAAAAAGTAAACAAAAGAATAAAACAAAAAAAATATATATAGGATATTACACGGTGGCGCGAAGATATGAATTTTATTTTCGAGTGGCAAAACAATATTTTACGAACGAGCGCAGCGAGTGAGTAAAATATTGTTTTTGCCACGAGAAAATAAAATTCATATCTTCAAGCTTATCAATGAAATCATCGATAAACTCACGTGTGAGATTATGGAAAATAAACCACTCGGGTCCCGGATGTAGTTTTTATGAATTTTACGAGTGGTATATTTTCCAGTAAAACACTCGTGTCTATATAATAAATTTAAATAAATTTGCCCAATATTTTAGTTTGAAGACAAACTTTCTTCAGGGGTTTTAAGAACTCAGACACTTTCGAGTTGTTTCAAATCTCACTATTTCAGCTGATCTTCTGGCTTCTGAAGGATCTCTAAGCTAGGAAAGCCAGTTCCCATGTTCTCAAAAACACTTCCTCTAGATATTACAAGACCTTACAATTTGCTCATACCTGAAAACAGAAAAAGTGAAAGGCTAAGACAACCTCCAAAACATAACATTTACAATAGAGCCCAGGTAACTCGAACTCTTAAGGGAAACGAAAAACAGTTCGAGTTAGCGGGAATGTGAGTTGTCGGGGTAAATTTCAGAGAAATATTGATGAAAGGAAAATAAATTTTTGTTCGAGTTAGCGAGGAATTCGAGTTGTCCGAGTTCGAGTTTTCGGGTTTCCACTGTAATTAACAGCAGTTAATATTTACTTAAAAACCTGGACTTAATTTCCACTTAATTTTCAATTATAATAACCATCAACCGTCAACAGCTCTTTAAGATATGACCGTCAAAGCTATTACGCCATTGAGACCCTCTGTTATGTGTGATGTGCTTCACCATTATCTTGCTACATATTGTTTTATGTGGCTTAGCTTATCACATGATCTCCTTTTTTTCTTTTTCTTTTTTTTAGATTCAATTTTCGGATGTGAATCCGTTTATATGGGCCAAAAATGGTACCCATAAGGCAGCGACCTCAGTAATCAGCTTATCATTCAAGGACGAATTTGGAAGTCCCATAACAGTCGAGAAAACTGAAAAGCAAATTGAAATCTATATTCCCACGGGAAGGGAAAACAATGATACCAACAAAGCCGCCGTGCACTTTGTTAACCCAGGAAATGACAGCATGATGTTTCATTCCTTTGAAATCAAACACAACGACACTGCTTTTGCCATTCGAATAGAACCAGTTAACGAAACAATGCTCGCTGTATATTTACGTTATGGGAGAAAACCAAACTTGACACATTTTGACTTTAAGTTCATTATTCCGGATTTCACGTCTTGCGTACTTCCGGGACAAGAAAACTGCAGCATTGTATCTGATTTTATGACATGCGTGGAAACGGAGGACGCACCATACAAGGACGAAAACTACACAAGACCGTTTTTGCCTGCAAGCTGTGGCCCGGAACCAGAGAATGAAACCGTAACAGCTCCACCTCCGGCTCCACCCTTACCCAATGAACAAGAGCAAACGTTTGAATGTCCTGACGCTTGCAAATATGATAACTTTACGTACGATAATTGCACTTGTGACGAGCTCCCCGATGTGACATTTCTATTCAACTCCTCGTTAGATGAAAACAATGACATATGCAAGGCGTTCATCGACTTTTCTCTTTGCCCAAACGACACCTTAATTTGTAAGGACTCTGTGAATTTATTATCTTGCTACCTGTTGCACTTGGATCGTTTTAAGCAGTGCCGCAGTATCCTCAGGACCACACCCAAATTGTTTTATGGCATTTACGCGAAATGCCTTAAAGATCCTTTCAGGTTTTTTTTCAACAGTACTGTTGGTAAAGCAGGCAAGTGGTTTGTGGGTATTGAATATTACATACCTCCAAACGATACTAATACTGAGGAAGACAAGGAAACGAAAGATAGTTTGGACTTTGGGGAAGATGAGCCTGATTGGGATAGGCTAGAGGAGTTTGGATTTTGGAGAAAACTCACAAACAAAAATAGTGAGGACAATGCCAGGAGATTTTTGGAAGGTAGAGTTTTAAGATGGGCAACACGGAGAAGATGGGGAAGATCTTTTCAAGGCGACGATGTGTACGATCAAAACTGTAAGTTTTGGTGGGTTAAATGGTTCCAATGTGGGACATTTTTGGACAGATATATGGGTTATTGGAGGCTATGGCAGGACAAGAAAGACTATGGTGGTGATCGTAAACGTAGATCACTGTCGTCAGATTCCGATGAAACCGCTGAGCGACTTTGTGTAGTCGTCGAAGAGAAGCCCCCTCCTTTCAAAATTGGAGAATCATTGCCGCTTGTTGAAGAACCGCCAGAGCTAGACGAGAATGTGTCTGCACTCTATTCGTTCGAAGTCAGCCTTTACACATGCCTCTTCTGGGATGAGACCAACGAAGAATGGAGCACTAGTGGTTGTACGGTAAGATTGCCTTTACCGCTTTATAGCTTTAAAAGTTTCCACTCCGATCCTTAAATCTTGCAATGTGTACGAGCCAATAAGTTTGTTTTCTCATAATTTTGGCTTTGTTTTATATGATGGTTGTTGTTATTCTTTTTTTGATAATCATTATTGCTTAGCAGCCGAATATGCTGGGCGAACGGGCTCTGAGTGCTCCATGCATGTGTCAGTATAATTTTGAAGGCAGAGAGTAAAAAATTGGAACCCGTTAGGGTAAGGGTTACGGTTAGGCTGCTCTCACTCTTGCTATATTTTTCAACGCTCGTGGAGGAATTTTGTTACTCCGTGCATATCCCCTATATCTTAGATAATTACAATTCATTATTTTTTCGGGGCCAAGGGTCGAAGGCCTGGATTATCCTATATTTAATATGAGAAACATGTTCATTCAGTTGCTACGAAGAAATTATTTGATTAAAAAATCTGAGCGCTCCTCATAGGAATGAAACCTGTGACCTTTCGGTTACTATATGTTTACAGGCTGGTCCAGAATCTAATGACGAAAAACTGCAATGTCTGTGCGATCATCTTACATCGTTTGGTGGCGACTTACTGGTGACACCCAACACAATTGACTTTGCGGAAGTCGCCCTAGGATTTGCCAACCTGGGGAAGACTGGCAATGTAGGCGTCATTATAGCCGTGTTCGTGTTCGTCCTGTTGTACGTTTTGGGTGTCATTTTTGCCAGAAGAGCAGACAGAAGAGACAAACAGCAGGTATTACGGAAAAAGGGCAAATTTTACCTTTGAAGTTAAATTAAAATTGCAATAATATATATTTATTGCTATTAATTTGTTCTGCATTTTTATCCGAGGGTGGGGGGAGGGGGGGAGTGAATACTTAACGAAATTGTATACGGAGCAGGCTCCTCCCCGAGTTCTTATTCCTTACCGTTTTTTATAATAAGGTTCAGATATAATGCGCCCTCTGATTCGTTGAAAAAGCGTGCTTTATTAGATTATTAAACACGGCGCTAAAGCTGTCCTATCATCTACCAATAGTTTATTTTGAAAATTAGAAAGTAATGCGTGGGAAATTTAACGGATTCTTTGTCATAAAACAAACAAAGAAGTCTTGACTGTACTCTGTTCTGTCGTAAAGCTCTTAGGAAGCGGCTAGAGCACTCGATCAAGACTTAGGGAGACACACTCTTCTTTCGTGCTCTAGCTGCTATCTGCATGCCTTACAACAGAACATAGAATATTCAAGGCTTCTTTATTTGGTAATACACCATTTATGCAAAGTGTTGATGGAGGTAATAGCATCATGCCCTTTAGTACACCTTTGATATTTCATGCAACAGAAATAGTTATAAATCCGTTAAATTTTCCGCCGCCCGGTTAGCTCAATAGATAAGCGCCGGTCTGCTGAGCGGAAGGCCGTAGGTTCAAACCCCGGCCGAACCAACAGTCAGGGTCTTTAAATAACTGAGTAGAAAGTGATTCCTTTGCGGAAGTCGCCCTGGGATTTGCCAACCTGGGGAAGACTGGCAATGTAGGCGTCATTATAGCCGTGTTTGTGTTCGTCCTTTTGTACGTTTTGGGCGTCATTTTTGCCAGAAGAGCAGACAGAAGAGACAAACAGCAGGTATTACGGAAAAAAGGCATATTTTACCTTTGAAGTTAAATTAAAATTGCAATAATATTTATTTGTTGCTATTAATTTGTTCTGCATTTTTATCCGTGGGTGGAGGGCGGGGGGAGTGGTTACTTAACAAAATTGTATACGGAGCAGGCTTCTCCCCAAGTTCTTATTCCTGACCCTTTTTTATAATAAGGTTCAGATATAATGCGCCCTCTGATTCGTTGAAAAAGCGTGCTTTATTAGATTATTAAACACCGCGCTAAAGCTGTCCTGTCATCTGCCAGTAGTTTATTTTGAAAATTAGAAAGTAATGCGTAGGAAACTTAACGTATTCCTTGTCATAAAACAAACAAAGATGTCTTGACTGTGCTCTGTTCTGTCGTAAAGCTCTTAAGAAGCGGCTACAGCACTCGATCAAGACTTAGGGAAACACACTCTTCTGTCGTGCTCTAGCTGCTACTTGCCTTCCTTACAACAATAATCATCGGCGATGTGAGCACATTGGTCCATAGTTCGAGTTGATATATATTAATCTAATTGAAGACTGAATTGATTTTTTTCTGGTGCCGTTGAAAGACCATCCTCTGCATCAGCGATTCTTCTTTCATAACCACGTGGTAGTTAAATCTCTCGATCTTTTGTTGCAGCTGTCTATTGCAATGCCTGTCCATACGAACAAAACTGGTGACCACACTTACGAGATTGCAGTTTATACAGGGATGTTCGGAGACTCTGGTACAACAGCAAACGTGTCAATGTACATCAACGGTGAAAAGGGTGAGAGTGAAGTATTACCGCTTCAAGACACAGGTGGCGCAAAACGCCCTTTTAGTCGCGGCAGTGTCAGCTCCTTTGTAGCAAGGTGAGCAATCAACTTGTTCTCTATCCACGCAGGGTTTGGAAGGCCATATTTGACCGGGAATTAGGAAAAGTCAAAATTTTTCGACCACTTTTCGGGAAGAGGGGACTCGCCAAAAAATCTTAGCGGAGGATGTTGTATTGGGAAATTAAAGACAGCGGTATCCGGGGGAAAGATGTCAGCAGTTCGGGTTGTGTGATTATCGTGGAAAAGAAGCAGGATTGCGGGTTCAGGTTCACCTTTCTAGACGCTATCTACAGCAGCTGGAACTGGAACCCCAATGGGTGTTAGGCTTTGCTTAACTTCATCCAACGTTAAATTTGATACCACAGTCTAGTGGGGACTCACTGACGCAATCTTGAGCTCACAAAGAGAGTAAAATCACCACGAACAAATTAGCTTTAGTTTGACTTTTTGGCGTCATTTTAGAAGTGATTCATAAAGGTTTGTCGTACTTAAAAACCACTTCTCTCTTTCCTGATTTCTTGGTGCTGAAAAAAAAAACCAGTTGTTTCTTCAGATCAGATATAATTGACCAAATCTGGAAGAATTTTGCTAAATTTGTTTGTGTTTGGACACTTGACGGACTCTTGTGGAGCTATAGATATATGCTCAGGGCCCTTAAATTTATCAAAACTGACCGGCCAGAACATGTTTTTCGTAATGAGAATAAGAGGATTTAGTTATTAATAAGGAATTTCCAGGCAGCTCAGTCTATTGATAAAGAGTATGCGTAGTATTGATTGGTTTCTGCACAAGTTCACGTAAAAAGGCTTTTCGTTTTCAAAATAGCTGGTCCGGACGTCCAATGTTCTGACTTTTAATTTACTTGGCGCTATTCACAATGGCCTTTTATACACCGTAAATCAAATCCATTTGTTAAATTGAAACGACGTTAATTCGGGTACACAGATATCTAGTGTGGATAATAGTACTTATGCAATCCGTGGCATTGTTTCATTTACCAGTATTCTTTTTGTCCAGATTACCGAACTCTCTGGGTCGATTGAACTATGTGAATGTGTGGCACGATAACTCGGGCTCAAGCCCCTCGTGGAATCTGCGACAAATTGTGATTCGCCACGTTCCAACGAATAAGAAGTCGTATTTTATCTGTAACCGTTGGTTAGCAGTGGAGAAGGACGATGGATTGGTTGAAAGGGCAATCTTCGTTGCCGACCAAAAGCAGATGACAGGATTTCAGAACCTATTTTATAACAGGGCTTCCAAGGACATAGGTAGTAACTGAAAGTTAGCGACCTTTACAACTTTTTGATTAATTGTTAGCCTGCGCAGCAAGCATTTATAATGGCACTGAATTGAACTGAGTGGAGTGCAATTTGGTCATAAATAAGGCGCCCTTGTTAAAATCGTACGAGCCCACAGCGAGAATAAGTGTGATTAGTATAGGTAATAGCATGATTTGTAGTGATATTTGGTATAAATACCACAAGTGATATTTTAAAATTGTTATATGTAATTTCACGAGCCATTAGGTGAGTGAAATTTGAGAGTTAAAACTTTATAGTGCTCACCATAAATACGGTTTATAGTGCATGTTTAGTACGATAATAAACAAATATGATGATGGGTGTTTTCCAAACATTAAAAGTGTACATCCATAAAGTTATTAAGCTGAAATATCACTGCTCTAAGCCAATCAAATTGCAGTAATTTCTCATGTAGTAGTATAACAACGGAAACTGAAATCCACCCAATTCAATTTATTTAATTTATCGCATCCATTTTCAAATCGCATGATTTAGTAGCCCATAGACAGGATTTTATTGGCTAGTATTAATATTTTATCGATCCAAAAGTCGGTTAATTGTAAAAAAAAAAAGAAGTTGAACCCTAAACATTTCTAAATCACGTTTTGAGTATTCAAGACAGAAATATTGCGATTAAGAGAAGAAGTGATGGAATTAATAGCACAAATTACTTGATATAAAACAGATGTGATTTACAGCAAAAAAGTATGATTCGTGAAAAAAAAACGCCGCTGAGATTCAATCAGGTTGCAGGGATCGCAAGGGATTTCAACGTGAATGTAACAAATTGCTAAATTGGCTGCCTGAATATTGGATTTACTAGTAGAATGATCGACTAGTTGTCAAAACTGACGACAGAATGCTAGACCACCTACAATTTGATTAAGAATAATCGACTGTTAAGCGGCGATAATAGGCGGACCGAAACGCACCAATGACACTTAAGCTCTTCATAACCAATAACATTCCTGCTTAACTGACAGACGACCAATAATACCTCGACTTAATTGACCAATCAGGTCAACAAGGGTTTAACACCATCAACTGACGTAATACAACTCACTTCGACTGTGAAGATGAATACCGGGTTGCCTTCCCCTACGAGCAGAGGTTTCTCTCTTGCATAACTGTTAGCGTTTTAATACGAAGTCGTTCGCATCGCTTGTCAGCCGCGTTGTTGGTTTGTTTATTACGCCCCGGGGCTTAAACACTAAAAGCCATGCGAGACAGAAACCTCTGCCCGTAGGGTAGGTTGTCTAAGCGTCAGTCACTATCAATAATAGTCCTATTCAGGATTAACTCACCCGAGCTACTTATCTAACTTATCATTGCTATTCTTATACGACCACAGGTGATGGACATTTATGGTTTTCAGTGTATACGCGGCCGCCACACAGCTCTTTTACTCGGGTTCAAAGGTTGACCTGCTGCATCTCTCTGCTCTTTTCTTCTATGGTGGCTAACGCTATGTTTTACGAACTTGGCGATGCTGAGGCAAGTCTTCGAATCAAATTTGGACCTATTGACTTCACATGGCGGCAGTTGATGATTGGAGTTCAAAGCAGCATTGTCATTGTCCCTGTTAACTTGTTGATTATCACCATTTTTCGTTTCACTAGACCGAGAAAGTCCTCCGGAGGAGAGGAAAAAGCTGAACCCAAGAAAGAAATGCAAGAAAAAAAGGCGGGAGCTAATACAAACCCAAAAGGGAAAACAAAACCGAAGGATGAAAAAGTGAAAGGAAAAGAAGGATCAGATTGCAAGAAATCAAAAGACAACAAGGGGCCAAAAGACCAGAAATCTAAAGATAAAAATAAATCTGAACCAAAAGCAAAGGACAAAAATAAAGCTGACTCGGAAACTAAAACGAAGAAAGAAGAATTGCAAAAAACAAATAGGGAAAAGACGGCGCCTAAAACAGAACAAGAGGTTACAAAGAGAAGAAAATTCAAACTTCCCTACTGGTGTAATTATATTGCTTACACATTGGCCTTCCTCACATCCTTTGTTGGGGCCTTGTTCACCATATTTTACAGTATGGTTTGGGGCAAGGAGAAGTCAGACAAATGGATTCTTTCAGTCATTATATCTTTGGTACAAGACATCTTTTTCGTGCAACCGTTGAAAGTAATCCTGGTTGCATCGATTTTGGCCATGTTGTTGCGGAAACCTCCCGAGGATGACGAGGAGGAAATAGTTAACGATGAGGCTGAAGAAACAAAACAAGAGGAACTCACAGACGATACTTCGGTTGATGGCATGAAGGATCCTCGCAAGAAACTTTTTACCAGTGGTCCCGATCCAATGATAGTTGCAATGGCCAGAGAAAAAAAGCTTAAAGAAGCGCAGATGTGCAATATATTCTCCCAGCTTGCGTTACAGTTCTTCTTCGTCTTTCTTCTCTCAGTCGCTACTTATGGTAGCCGAGGCGGAGACAGGTTTTACCTCTCCAAGAATGTACAAGATATTTTCAACACAAAACTTGGCAAGGTAAGAAACCCTTTAACAGGCTACAAAGGAAGCTTCTGCAAGCTTTTTCGTCTGTCAGTGGCAGAGCATCTGGATTTAGAAGAACCTAAAGGGTCAAAGGCCCGTCTCTTGTTGAACGAACTGGCATCCCCTGACAAAACTGGGTGAACAAAAGAAAATATTCTTGACATTTTTCTTTGACTTCCTGAACATGTTCGACATCTCTTAATCACAGAAACGAATCAAAAAACGAAAATCCAAATCAGCATTTCACCTCTGGCAACTTACTGTTAAACTCAAGGTTTCAAAATTTATAACCAATATAACCATGGACGTTTACCAATACTTCTGATTTCCCTATTACTTTTATACCTCTTTATAAGGTAATGCTATAAGCGTTCTTAGAGCTTACCCTTACACAAACCATCCAGTAAAAAATCTCCTACAAAATTCTTGAACAATTAAATGTGACCTAGTGGGAAACGTGTCTCCTACAAAGTCTATCAAAAGCAATTGTAGAGACTAGAAATTTTTAAAAAAGAGTCTTTTTTTTTTAACACGAACCAAATGGAATGACGCGAAAATATCTGAATTCCAATTGCACTACATAATATCTTTGTATAACTAGGGCTATTCTTGTGAAAGTATTTGACTATTTTAAAGTAAATTCTTTCTTAAAGTTGGGGGGTTTTTGTACTTACTTTTTCTGATAAACGATTTTGTCACTTCCCCTTATTATAATTACCCTCAATTTTGATATGGTTAGGTCAAGGACGTATACACGTTTTGGTGGTGGGCTGAAAATTATATGCTTCCTAGCCTGTACGCTACAGAATGGTACAATGGACAAGCATTTGAAGAAGAAGATTTCTTTTCCAACAAAAAAATGTTTATTGTTGGTCTTCCACGCCTGCGACAGGCAAGAATCAAGCAAGGTTAGTAACAGATTAACTCTTTCACATGAAAGTCCCAAAAAACTTCCACGTCCCCATTTTGCTTAAGTTCTGAAATCCCGGCTTTCAAATGGGGTAAATGCAGAATCTCAAAAGACCTATTAGGGACCCTATGCCACCACGCCTCCTCATTTACATATAGGTGATAGACAACTCTTCTTGTCAACAGAACCCTGTGTTGCTTGGAACGCGTATCCTGAGTTTACCCGGTGGTTTCCAAGTTGTTACCATGGCTATTCCTCTAACAGCCAAAACGACCAATCTGCCGACGCACAACTGGACTGGCTTGATGTCTCTCCAGCTTACGTCGTTGGTGGTTCGAGCTGGAGAATTATTGATAACGAAGACAGCGAAGATACGACCAGCAACCTTTACAACACTCAGCAGACCAGTAACAACGATAGTATCAGTAGTAACAGTACTTATACCACACCTGCGCCAGATCAGGATGTAACAGGAAGCTTGGGGAACGACGATGGCAACGGGAATGGTAAAAAGCAACAGGTTTAGGCTCTGTCCACACGTGCTGGGCGTATTCGGACAAAAAGCAGGTTTCAGAAAACGATACTTAGAGTGGAGGTTTTTTAAAACCGCCGACTTCTTGTTTTCGTATAGGTGGACGAAAACGGAGGTTTACGAATACCGTGATTTCGTACATCATACAGCGCACACACCTGAAAGGAATGCTATCGTATTTCCATCGTTTCAGCGTTTTAATATGAACGGGGCAAAATATTTCGAATATATGCTGCTTGTGGACGCTTTTTGTTTCGAAAAAGGAGAGAAAATCTCCGTTAAAAAAAAGTAAATGCGTGGACGAGACCTTAGGCTAAGTTCACACGTCGCCGGACAATTTTTCGACCGGTGGAAAATTCGTGCGTTTTGGTGTTTCGCTCACACGAAACCACCAGAACCCTTTAAACCCTAAGATCAAAGCTATTCAGAGTTCCGTGTGAACAGAGTAAAAAAAATTGAACGCTTCCGTGCGAACGAGGTGTCCGGTCAAACTTTTCAGGCGGTTGAGAATTCGTCCGGTCCGGTACTGTTTGAACGAAGCCTTAAGGTGATGTTACACGAGATGATTCGCAATGACGATTTTTAGGGCAACACAGCGTTGCAATGTTGGAACAATGTTGCAACGATTCCAAACAATGTCGCAACGATGCTGTAATGCTGTGTTGCGTTGCGTTGAAAATCGTTGTTGCGAATCGTCCCGTGTAGCATCACCTTTAGATTAGCAAAACACCAACCCTGCACGTGTATCACGCTTTTTGTACATTTCTTTCTAATTGCAAAAATTATAATTTTACAAAGAAAAACTCATCTAGTTGCTTCGTAACCAAGTCATTTTCTTTCCTTAATGCTTCTACATTGTTTTTTTTCATGATCTTTCCTTGCTCAAAAGTGCAGTCAGGAAAAAAAGTGCTTTTTTGCAGCGGAGCAGCAAAACACACGTGTGCTCACTTCAACGACTGAGGTTTTTGTAGTCGCTTACAAAAGATGATCGCGAAGGCAATAGTCCAGAACTGCGGCAATTTAAATAAAGGAAATGTGATAGCGTAAAGGGAATTTTCATATGACGTTATGCCTGCCATATTGGTGTCGCAAAATAATATAACGGCGGCATTGTTGGTGTTCCAAAAACCAGTCCTGTGGGAGTAGAACCTTCTGGACTCCTTTTTATGTAAAAACGTTCTTTGTTAAAATTTGCACAGCTGCTGGCCGCGTGAGTGAAAACGTCTTAACCTTATTTTCCTCTATTTTATTTAGGAACTTCCAACATTTTTGCAGGCTCAGAATTTAGAATCTTCTGTACCCATACACTGGAGTACCACGATGCTTTATCTCTTGGTACACTCCCCATTGTCACGGAACGCAACACGTACACTGGGGGCGGTCTTCTTGCGGAGCTAGGGTACGATATAGAAACGGCTCAAAAAGTTCTTGCCAACCTCAAGGACGATATCTGGATCAACAGACTGACAAGATTGGTTTCGTTGGAGTTCGTTGCCTTCGAACCCGGCACCAATCTCTTTGCGTATGGTCGATACAACTTTGAATGTCTTCCAACTGGAGGGATTTGGACATCTTACCGCATTGATCCTATTTCGTTCGTCGGAAGCATCAACTCGAGTTTCAGTTCCATATTCATCGTTTGTTATGTGCTGATTATTATTATTCTCTTATACTCGATTTATCGGGAATTCAAAGAAATGCGGCAGTTGAAAAGCAAGTACTTCAAAGACATCTGGAACTACATAGAGTGGGCCTTCATCTCCTTTACCATTACAACGATTGTACTGTTCTTTTTCAAATCAGAATACACCAGGTATTACTTAAGTATCTTTATATGTAAAGAGAAACAATGCTTTGCAGTCATAGTAGAGGAGTCTTGTTATGAAACCCGGCAAACATCAAAGTGGAAAACAACGGTGCTGTAGGTTATGTTGGAAGCTCCCCGATCGTGCACAATCCTTTGTTTTGAGTTCACAAATTTGGACTGGATAAATTAATGCGATGGATTTTGGTGTTCAGTAAGTTCAAAATGATAGGAATGCAATTGAACGACGTGCACGGTCAGGTTTTAAAAAGCTAACAAAAAACACGCAATGGACGGCTTAGTGTGTAGTATCAAGGGATGTTTTTACAACCGTATTTAGACAAAATACGTAGAGTCAAAATACGAGATAAGTAAACATACCCCACGATAGTACATTCGAAAGGGTTTAACAAGATATTTTTTTTTTCCACTTAGATTGGATATATAGAACTTCATTAATTTGCACAATTACTTGTAACGAGAATTCGTGACATGAAACAAACGTCACTCCTGTGCAAGTCCAGTTTCGAGTGCCTTTTCGACGGTTTTGTTGTTTGGTTAAGTCTTCGCTCCCATTTGCTAGCCACAAAAAAGAGGGAATAATAAATAATTTATAAAGCTTATAATGGCCTTGCGGTTTTCGTGTAAAACCGCCATCCAAGAAGACAGAAAAAGAAAAAGGTTGCAACCGAAAGAAAAAAGAATCATCCGCCAAATTAAGGAATTTAAGAAGAGAAGCAAAATGAATGGATTTTGTCTTACACAGGGTTAGCGCTTTAACGCGTTGGCTACCCAAACCTCCCTTTCAATGCTACCACCACTCCCCTCCCTTCCCCTCTAGGGTTACCTCTTGCCGATTGTAATATGAGCAATAGACCATTTTTAAATTCCTTTAAACAATTTCGCAAGGCTAGGGTTAAGAAAATACGTTGATTTGTTAATGATCTGTATATCCTACCCTTGGAAGCCTCGTCCATCTCTTCATTGTGTAAGCTCACCGAAACGGAATGCAGGAAAAATCTTTTCACCGTAAATTTGACATACGAAAATGATCACGTGATTCAACGTCGTTCTCGGTTACAGGTAAATGGATCTAAATGTCCCAATTATATCACAATCGTCATTATCATCATCATCACCATTATCATCATCATTATCATCATCATCATCATCATCATCATCATCATCATCATCATCATCATCATCATCATCATCATCATCATCATCCTCACCGTCATCCTCATCATATTATCATTATTATTTCCAATAGGAGGCTGGTTGAGAAAGTGCAGGCCAACCCTTACGCCCGAATGAGCTTCGATTATGTGGCTTTGTGGACAGACACAGAGAGTGTGTTTCTCGCTCTGGTCATCTTCCTGGCGACAATGAAATTCTTGCGCATCTTAAAGTTTAATAAGCACATCAGCATAGTAACCAAGAGCATGGCAATTTCCAAAGGACCACTGCTTTCCTATTCCGTTTGCTTTGTGGTGGCTCTCTTGGGATTTGCTACGTTTGGTAACATCACCTTCGGCTCCTCAGCGTACATGTTTTCCACATTTCCAAGATCGATTGTTAATTCGTTCGAAATGATCCTTGGTAAAGGTGAGAAAAATCTTCGATTCAACACTGGACGAAAAATAGATTTACATCAAATTTACTTTTGGTCCTTACTAGCAACTCTACCAAGTACGTGTACATAACAGCACTTTAACATCCAACGACGCGACCGCAACAAGAACATCAAAGAAAACCAATAGGTTTAAAAAGCAAAACACCAACTTTGCGTGCATCACACTTTTTTGTACATTGCTTTGCCGTTTTTGCACGACTACGACGTGAAAATGCCTAATTTTTGCGTTTTATGGAGAACGTAAAGAAACAACGACGAAATTTTATCTCCCTTTCTTAACTTGGATATGGTCTCTTGGAATTCAACTTACGGAGAGTTCGCCTACATTTGACAAAGTACGTGGGTAGGAATAATCGCAATGGAGACTGAAAGAACGCAAATTCACTTTTAAGCGACGTTCTCGTTGCTCTCTCGTCGTTGGATCTTAAAGTCCCTGTTCCCAAATAGCGATGCAACCATAAGCGTAAGCATAACATGGTCTTTACCGGCGACGCAAGCATAAACATAAACATAAACATAAGAAGCTATAGGCCTTAACATGAGCATAACCGTAAACCCCAAAATTATCGATATAAAAACCTGGCATTCTTTTAATGCTTATGCTTAAACGTCAAGGCCGTCTTCATTAGTGAATGCCTATAAGCTGGTTATGCATGCTTAGTAGGCTTGTGCTTGCGTCGCATTTTTGAAAATAGATGAGGGTTGGAATGACTTAACTCCATCAGTGTAAATTCTACCGGAATAAACCAAATGACGAAATCATTAGCTATGTCCTTCATCTGATTTCTTGTTATTGTCTTTTCCTTTTAGGAACCAACTACGACGAGCTGGAATCAATCAACCGCTTCCTTGGGCCATTCTTTTTCTTCACGTATTTTCTCGTTACGACGCTCATCTTGATGAATTTCTTTGTGGCCATACTCAATGACTCCTTCACCGACGCTAGAGAAATTCTTGAAGCGGAGTCCACGGGGGAAAATATGTCAGACTTCATTGAAGAATACGCCAAAGACAAGCTGAAGGAAATATCAGACGAACTACGAGCAATAATTGGCGGAAGAGAGAAGAATAACGCTGCCAGTAATGGCAAGCCCAAGAAAAACAAAACATGGGAAAGAGATTTCTTTTTGTACTAGCCTCGGAGCTGTGCAACCCCTTACTGAGAAACAAGTAGGAACTGGAGCCGACGAAATACATTCCGCAATTGCTTCTGGGATAGTTACTGGGGAAGCGCCGGTCAGCTATCGGCCATTTTTTTTCCCTCTTCTCTAGTAATATTTCCAGAAGTCTTTGCGAAAGTAACTCGTCCCAGTTTCCTTTCCGGTTTAGAATTTTACACGCGACAGAGCACCAAAATCATGATAGAGCACAGTTTTATCAGTAAACTTCTGAAAACACGTCAATATTCTTTAATGAGCAGCAGAGTCCCGCTCTTGAAAGACCGAGTTAGCGCTATTCCAGGATGACAATTGTCTTTGAGTTCTTTTAGATTGTTTAGTGGACCATTTTCGGTTGACATAACAGTATTGCGAAGTAAAGCTAGAAAACGTGTTTATTATAGCTCAAGCTACATGTCCCCAGAAAGATGGCTTTGCTTTAATCTGGCTTTATGCGAGTTAATCATCTTTCAAGGAACCGGGCCAGGGGGTTTTCAAGCTTTACCTAGGCTGCAACTATTTTAAATTATTTCCATGAAGTTTAAATTTTTAAGAGTTTGTGTAGAACGTTTTTGCTGGAGCAAAGCTTGCTGAGTCATTTAATTATTTAAAAACAATTAGATCAATTCTGGACTTAAAACCACAGGACAAAACCAAATTTAGGGTAATGCTTGTACTGTTTCGCATTCTTAGGCAAGTGTGCGTACTATAAAAGTTGCGCCCTTTTCTTCAATAAAGATTGGATTTATTGCGGCACATTCAAAAGTGCCTGGTATTTTCAAAACCTGCACAATGTTCCAAAGGTGTCACTAGAGTAGTCACATCGAAGGATATGTTTCAAAGAAAAAAGAATGATTTTATTATAATAAGAAACAGTGTCTGTCTTAGAATTTTCCTTCGATTGAAATTTAACAATAGGAAAGCTATAACCAAGTGGCTCAGTAACTTTAAAGGTCTCTCAAAAGTCCATTAATCAACAATTAACTTTGCACGGTCGTTTTTAACTTGCGATATTTTAAAATCCAGAGATGTGGAAGTTCTTTTTCAAGTGTGCTCCTTGCTTTGCATACCACAAGATCAGTAAAAAAGTTAGTTCAACGGCGTTCACATATTTTTGAATTGAACTGTAACAATCTTTTCAATAAAGAAGACGCACCTCACAAGTGTTGGTTAATCTCTTTAAGTTTGTTTCTTTTCTCATCGCCACGCTCAGCCGAATTTAAAATACTTCTGTCACACGTATGAACAAACAAAACAGCACACTGACATATGGAGGGAGCTGCCAGCAATCTAGTTTATTATACGAATAACAGTTACAGCAAAAGCACCAAAATAAGGGATATATGCGAGAAATAAAGTTACAGAGCACTAATAAAAGCTAGATGTACAGAGCAAAAATTATCAAAGTAAACGGAGTCAGCATATCACCAAGAGCGATGCAAAAGTACACGTAGAAATCAATCGTAGCCATAAAATATATAAACCTCAAAAAGCGCCCACGAGTAAACTGGTCGGCGTCAATTGGCGTGAGATTCATAGGGAGTGGCTTTTAAAGGGTCTAATGATCCCAATGAGAACTAAACTAAACAATGTAAGCAACAAATAAAAGAAGTACATTATTACGTTACGCTCGCAGCATACCTATTTTTACTCAGGAGGACATTTTGCTTTGCTTTCGTGTAGTTCAACGACACAGCTGACTATGGTAACGCTGGCTCAATCATGTGCCCTACTTGATTCGCTTTTATTGCTTTATTTATTGCGAGAGCAACGAGTAACTGGATAGGTTTGTATGGTTTTTCTAATTAAGTTGCCATGTTGCCATTAACAGGAGTTGCTGGACTTTTTCCCAAGCAGCAGGGCTTTACAAACGCTTTGACTTGAAAAACAATTGGTATTTGCTACCCGAGTGACTCTCTTTACTATTTTGTGCTTCTTTTTTGCTTGTTTATTTTTTGTTTTGGGTTTTGTGATTCTGTTTTGGTTTTGTGTTTCTATTCAGTCTATTTTGTATTTCCTTTTTTGGCTTTGCGATTCTGTTTTGGGAAATGTGTTTCTGTTTTGAATTTTGTGGTTCTGTTTCTACTTTTGCGTTGTTTTCTCCCTATCGGCCACCGCACTATTGTCTGAGTAAAAGTAGCGGGATTTGTATGACTATCTGATTTGCATTGTTATCAAAGTTTTAATATCAATTGCAGATGTTTTGGAGAGCACTCACTTTAGGGCCCTTTATTGCACACTCACTTTGGCCGTTTTCTTTTTGGGCTCATCTTCATCCGCTTCTTAGGCGCCTTTCGTGAAGCCGTTCGTAGAAAGAAGACGATTGTTTTTACTGCCAAGATTCTCTGATTAAAGGGCCATCATTGCCTTGTCCCTGCACGGCGTCTTTCCAGGCCTTCATGGTCAATGCATTTCTATGATGTATCCGAGACGTGATCGAAACGCATAGGCCGTGCGGAATAATGAGGCCTAGGGACTAGGCAAGGGCCATCATATTGCGAAAGAGAACTCATTCGAGGCTGAAAAGGTATGGGGGAGGAGAGGGAGTGTAACACGTGCCCCTGGGGACGAGTGTTGTTTTGGAAGCTGCAGATTGAATGAAACACCTGAACAGATTGTAAATACACCTTAGACAAAAGGACAGCGATGTCAGCAGCTGAATAGTAGGTATCTCATCTTAGTACATATGTTCAAGGCTATAAGTTAAGGCTAGGTTATTTGTGTAAAAAAACTCGGTGGGAAGGACTAGGATTTAATCGCTCTTCACAAAGATGATCTTGTTGGCTTTGCTTTGTGGATTGCTCTTTGTCCATGGTGGTCAAGGTAATTTATGCTCTGCTCAGTACACAGTTTAGCCAAATTCAGTTGACTAGGACAGCCTCACTACCAAAGAAAGTGAAGTATAAAACTATAGTAGCCCCTTTGAAAATAAGGTGAAGGAACATAAACGGCAAACACAAGAAGATTAAAAAAGATTGCAACTGCCGTATTAAAACCAGGAAGCCTGTTTTTTTCTTATTCTAAGATCTTTCGTTAAATTTATACCTGCTGAATTTTAGTTTCCAAATTTGTCTCTTGCACTTTTGCGAAATTAAGTACTCGCGAAAATATGTTTTCACAGTGAACGATGAGGCTTATTACTACTTGCTAGCTATTAAATTCCAGATCCTGCCCTTTTAACGTTGTTTCTGAGTTCGTGAGAAGATCTGAATATATTCAGTGTATGTTCTGTCATATTTTACAATTTTCTATTTAAGTCAGAGAAATCCTAAATCGTAACCATTCAAAAGAAAGGTTATAAGTGATTATTTATCGACTAGAATCAAGAGTTTTTAACGCATTAACCATGTACATGATGAAAACGCTAGATTCGAAAAGTCTACTTTTGAATCTCTTTGTGGCCATTTTACCTAATCACGTTTGGACAAAAAATGAGAAAACTTTTGGAAGAAATCATCCTTTCTTTTGAGGAAGGATGTTGGAGTGTCATAAATGCACTACTTCCTAGGAAAAAAATCCAAAAATAGCGTTTCATCTCAATTATTTTCGTTGCCATGGGATTGAGTTGCAAAGCTTTTTCTATGTTCTTTCCGGACATGGAAGTATATGTTAACTGTTTCCTTTTGTTTTTGTTTTCAAGCGGAATGTGGCAAACGTCCTATCACCACGCGTGTGGTTGGCGGAACGGACGCAATACCTAACTCATGGCCATGGCAGATATCATTGCGAATGACTATACGAGGAAAGCTCTATCACATTTGAGGAGGCTCGCTCATTTCACCGACTCACGTGGTTACTGCGGCCCATTGTGTTGCAAAGAACGCCGCACCGAGTCGCTACAAAGTTGTTGTAGGTTAGAATCAAGGATTTACGCCAGCGGAAGAATAGAGTAGCCCGCTAGCAAGCTCTTCAGGGAGCTCTGGCGGTGGGACGGCCCTCTGCTAGAATAGATGGAAGGGTATATTCTGCTGTGTCAAATGGTGTAGTTGATGCCAGACGAGGGGGGAGTCATGCACTTCCTCATTTAGCCTAAACTTGCATGTGCTCGTTAAGAGAATATAGTTTTCGGGATCTTGTTAAGCCTTAAAAAGGCAGTGTCTACGATTTTCCTATAAAAAGTGTTGAACAGGATGTCTTTCTGGACTGGGAGTGGGAAAGTAGAGGAAAGAAATTTAGTTTTTTTTTTCGTTTTGATCTAGTGTGTTTGATCTAAATGAACATTGATACAAAACATTAGCAAATCTGCGCGAGCTTTTCAGGAGGTACCGATTCCTTGAGTACACCACAGAAAGCAGTCTAAAAGTCAATCTTTACAGTCGTTTCTTGACAGTTTGAGTACGGATAATGTCAGTTTCAGGCTGAAGTAGGCTCTCACACCCAAGTGATGATAGCCGCTTATTCTGAGCTTCACGAATCGGGCTTTTTCTTCTGAGAAGCTTCTGAAAAACGGGAGCAAGGGTGGACTTCCACCGTCACGTTTTATAAAATAGAGGCAATGTATGAAAGGTCGCGCGTAAACGTAAAGGTCGAGCGAGGTTCAAAGCCGTTAGTGATTTGTCTTATTTATACTTGGCCCTCTGTGATTGCACAAACACAAAAATAATCAACATAACGCTAGGTGTACTGACCGCGCTTGTGTATCTTTAAAGGCGAACATGACCAGACAAAAAACGAAGGCAGCGAACAAGTTATCGATGTGGCAGCAGTTTGCTATCATGAAGACTTCGCCCTGCGTCATCTGCGCCATGATGTTGCAGTACTAACATTGGCAAAACCAGTGACATTGAGTGAACAAGTAAGCACCGTTTGTTTGCCTCGGAGTGGACAGCAAGTGGCTACGGGAACAAAGTGTTATATAACTGGTAAGTCCGTGAGAAGCAATAATAATATTAAGCCTCACTCAAACGGGAATATGTTGGTTTAACTCAGTTCGTCAGACATTATCAGTTGCATGCATGGCAATCTTGTTCCCAGCTAGAGTCCGCGTTACCGGCCCTTGTCTATCGGAACCCACTTCCCGTTCTGCTGCACTATGGACACTATAATGTAACTCGGACTCTGGAAGTGAGTTTGGTGGGATGGAACACGTGTAATCCGTTTAAACACCTCTCTTGGATGTTTTGTTAGGTAATGTTTCCTATAAATAAATTGGAAGTCAAACTTTCATTTAACATTTCCTTTGTTTTCGAGAGCAAATGAACACGTTGCCATATGTTGGCCAAGGTCTGATTAGCTTCGCAACATGTCCGATGCGTGTATACGCAAACATTATTCGTTAGTATAATAGAAAAAAGCTATATGTTAACCCCTCCTTCCATACGACTATGTTTATTTTTCGAAGCAAGATATAGTAACATCAAAGTATTTCGATGATTCGACGCACTGACGTCATCTATACAATCCACAGGCTGGGGAAGACTTATCGGCGGCGGCAGCCCGGCGACCATTCTCCAGCAGGCTGCCATGCCTGTGGTAGATCACCAGACCTGTGCAAATGCTAACAAAAACTTAGCAACTGTAGACCAGGAGAGTATGGTGTGCGCAGGATACGCTACAGCAGGCAATGTGATCAGCGGCTGCCAGGGTGACAGCGGAGGACCATTCGTTTGCGAAGAAAATGGACGTTTCGTTCTGCATGGAGCCGTGAGCTGGGGGCACCCTAATTGCGAAGCAGAGAAAACCTACACTGTGTTCGCTAGTGTTAGTTCTCATGTGGATTGGATCAAGCACAAAATGGCAATTGGAGGTTAAGGGAGAATTTTTTTTTACTTCTTATGTTAAGCAAATACGCCAGACTATCAACTTCATCCAGGAGACACAAAATTTGCCGTCCTGGACAAATGTTCACAAGATCTTTGTTTTTGCTACCTCTATTCACAGAACATTTGCCTTGGTCCCGAGGGTGTCTCCTGAATAGTTTGGACAGGGATACGAGCTCGTATGATTGGCGCTAGGGCTGACCGCAAGTCCGTTCCCTGCTGGAAATGTCGTTATTGCAATTTTTCGCTCACGGTTTGCATTCAAGATGGCGGCCCCTCAAACTCGAAGGCTGACTCGACTACTACAAGAATAAGGCTTGTTTAAAAGTTAACACATATCCGAAAACTCTGACTTGGAAGTTACGCTTTCATAAAATGTTGGCTACTGTTTCATACCTAACTCCCAATGCTGGACTTAATTGGTTTGATTCAGTATGAATTTTGCATTTCTTTTAGCAATATTAGGCTGTCAGATTTCCTAAAGAGCGAGACATGGTTCGTTGGGAGTTTTGTAGCTGCACAACTAAAAAACTATATGGTATAATGCGCTTTCAAGTTGAATTCTAGCCTCGTGTACGTGGAGTGCGTCACCACAGCGACTTGGGTCCCGGATGTACCAATGTTGAAGAAGTCTACCACATCTTTGACAAAGTTCTTAACTTGTTGGAAGTTATAACTGCCTACGCTACCGGAACTGTCCAAAATGAACGCCAAATCCACAGACGTTTGGCAAACTGTGAAAAAATTCTCAGCTATTTACCTGATTTATAATTTTTAAGCCGGATTAGACAAGTTCAGGAGCCTATGTCATGGGTTCCTGACAAGTGGACTTCTACCATAAACAAATCATCTACAATTGTGTAAGGTGTTCAATGAATGACACCCAGATTAATCATCATCATCATCATCATCATCATCATCATCATCATCATAACATTTCTCCTTTCTTTTTTTCCCTTTCTTTCTTTCTTTCTTTTTTTTTCGTCCAAAACATATAAAAAGTTGTTAATAGCGCTTTCTTTTTTTTCCCAGGTCACGGTAAAGGATGTGCTCCGACCCCCGCACCACCAACCAAACGACGTACGTTTCAGTCACACATTACTATTCACAGTTTAATGTCAGAATGTCTACCAAAACCGAGAGCCGTCAGCTCCTCCTGATCAAACCGTAATAGATGTCTTGTTTAGCGCCAGAAAATCACTTATTTAAAATTCCAAAAGGAGCCTTTTAAGAGAAATTTTAAGGCGATTGGTGTTACACGGCGTTGTCCTACAACAAGTAAACTTTGGGTTACACGAAGTGGGGACCATTTGACATAGGAACCGCACGTAGGGTCAATGCATTTCCGTCGTGATGTCACTTGGACCAGGTGACCTGAAGCGCATAGGCCGCGCAATATAATGAGGCCTGGTGACTAAACAAGTACGAACTACAAATTGAAATGAAGTTAACTCCCTGAATGTGAATAACTTATGTCATCTTTGTAGTTATGCGCTTATTTTATTGTATTCACTCAGAAAGTTATTTTTCTTGATTATTTTTAGCCTGCTTTGATCGATGGGGAAAGGCAACATGTGAGCGATACAAAGACTCGTGTGGGGTCCACACTGTCAGGATTAGCTGCCGCAAAACTTGCAACTTTAAATGCTAAGTAAAGATGAAGCCTGTATCCAGGGCCTGTAAAGTAGTTAGCTTGATGAAATAAATATCATTAAAAAAGCAAAAACCCGTGTATAACAACTTGCTTTGTTTTTCCAACTTGACAGTTTAATTAAGGTCCTATACATTCACTATATAAGACAGAACTAGACTGCAATACAGTTTTTTTTTTTTTTTCATAATCGTAAAATTCTCAGAATAGCGTTAGAGTCTCACGCGCGCAGACACGCGCGTAAAGTGCGAGAGCCTCACACGCCCAAGGGATGTTTCGCAGGAGAGACTGCGAGAACAGATCCCTCTCCATATTCCGCCTAGGGCTGGAGGAAATACAGGATAAGATTGTTGGAAACTCCTCACCTACTCACCCCTCCCCTAACTTGACGTTTTGTCTTAAGTAAGAAGTTATCGTTAACGTTGTGTTTGGGGAGGGTTGGGTGGGCAGTATCTAAGAATCGTATACTGATCCTCAGACATCCCCTAAGACATTGACACGGTGTAACAGACTCACGGAGATATTTAAGGGTTGTCCATTATACCCACACTGTAAAGGTAACCTTCGAACGGGGAGACTCTGCCCCGTGGCAGGAAGTCTACTTGCAATTCTAGAATTACGTTGAATAAATAAATAGGCACCTCTTTTCAAAACCAGTTTAACTAAGGGCCCGGTAGATAGATTTTCCTCAATTTCTGAATACCCTACCCTTTCACCCGGGAGGGGGGGGCGGGTACTCCCTTACAAGAGGCTAATGGGGATATGCCGCTGGATGGAGTCACATTGTCACGAGTCGAGTGACCGTAATAGGGTCGCATTTTCATTAGAGTTACTAGAACCTAGAATAGGTCGCAAATTTTCGGATTTTTGGGGTAAGTAGGGATTCAAAATGGAAAGATTCTAGGTAAAAAAGATCAGAAAGCTGTTGTTTATCAAGTTTAACAATAAGCTGGCATTGACCTCATTACATTCCGTTCTTGAAACCACAACTTAAATATTAATCAGTTACTCAATAGTACAAAACCACGTGCCCAGAACAAAGTCCACCGAAACATCAATACTACGGCATTTGCTTTTCTGCTGGATTGTTATCGTCTATCGAAGATAATTTTTGGATGACCTTTTTAAAGAATTGGCAAGGTAGATGAATAAATAGAAAGTGACCAAGTTGGGATCACGAAATTACATTTTCCAAAAAGTGACCAAGATGGGGTCTATAATAGTCCAGTTTCGAATTAAAAATTACCGCTGAATATAAACATTAACGACACATTCATACAGGGTTAGCCTCGACGTAAAGTAAAATATTCAGAAATTCTGGCAAGTAAGTGTTTGAAATTTGAATATACACAATAGACAGAGTAATAAACAGGTCTTTTCCTCGTTGGAATTTGTGAACATATTACTTCAGTTTGAGGCTAAGGCTGTAAAAAATGTGTCTTCACTTCTTTAATTCAGCGGTCATAGCGAACTCGAAAATGGACTATTGGCCACAAAATAGACTAAAATGGGGTAGGGGCTCTGAGAGGCCAGCGGCACATACCTAGCAAGCATTAACCCAAATACCCCCCCCCCCCCC